GAAATGAAATGAAATGAAATGAAATGAAATGAAATGAAATGAAATGAAATGAAATGAAACAAAATAAAAGTATTCTGTTATAAACTGTATAAACAAGGCTATAAAGCTCTATTTCTAGCTATTCTATTCTTTTCAGAGACAATCACTCATTACGGATTATTACTCACCATGTATTGCATAAATTTCAGACAGATTGTTTTTCTTTTTTTTTCTTTTAATTTTTTTTTTCAACATTTATTTTATTTTTGGGACAGAGAGAGACAGAGCATGAACGGGGGAGGGGCAGAGAGAGAGGGAGACACAGAATCGGAAACAGGCTTCAGGCTCTGAGCCATCAGCCCAGAGCCCGACGCGGGGCTCGAACTCACGGACCACGAGATCGTGACCTGGCTGAAGTCGGACGCTTAACTGACTGCACGACCCAGGCGCCCCGAGATTGTTTTTCTTTTAGAGAAAGGTGTTAATTCATGTAGGGCTCATTAAAAATAATAATAAAAAAACATATACAACATTTCTAATATTTTTCTTCGGAGTCTAATACAGCCATCAAATAGTTTTTATAATTACCTGCCAGGCTTGTGGTGATTAAAGTAAGAACATGTGACATTGCTAATTCCTTTGATTTTATTGTGTTTCTCTATAAATCGCAATTTAGGAAAATACCGTGGTGTATCTCGGCCACACGCTCCTGTACTACTTGAATCTTTAAGGTTTTAATGTTGCCTAAATATCGATCAAAGGCACCATTTAAAATAAACAGGAAGCCATCTCAAGAGAGAAAACAGAAATAGCCCTGTTTTCATCTACTCTGTCCATCAGCCAACAACACTTCATTTAGAATAAAGCTGGAAGGCTGGGAAATCCTTTCTGCTACCAATACTGTAAAATAAGTCATCTCTTAGTCCCATCTAGTGTTCAAAACCAGAAATGTAACCAGAAAGGATTGTAATTACAGAAGAACTAATGGTGAAAAGTTCGGTAGTCGATCACTGTTCCTTTCTTTTGGGTTTTTAGGTATATCATCAAAGAAGTCCTGTCAAACATATTTTTTTTTAAGTCCATATCACAAGTACGTGCGAATTATTCATGAAGGCTGCAAAGATCCAGTCAGTCAACTGGTGGACTTTGAAAAAGGTCAGAAACCAAAGAAAGAAATCATGAAAAGCCCATGTTTATAAGGATGAGGTGAGCAGATGCTAAAATATATTCATTTCATGGAAATCTAAAGAGGATAAGTGATTTTGCCAAGCCTTCCAGGTGAAAAGAAAGAGATCCTGGTTTTATCGAGTCTTGGCCAAAAGCTGAACACAATGCACACATGCTGAGTTCTGCAAATCTAGGCAGAGAGTCAAACAAGAACAGTTCAAGATGCTTCCTTAAGGAAAATATCCAAGTCCTCATTTCAAGCCATAATGGTTTCGATTCTTTGAAGAAATACAGGACACTTGGCCTCGCCTGCTCCCTAAATCCAGGGCATGACTGTCAACTTATTTCCCAGGGACACTTTCCTGGCTCCAATATGCTAACTCTTAGGGCCTCCGTTACTCTGTGTTTCGCTGCTAAACCCCAAACCTCACGGGGCTGAGTTATCTGGTTCTTCCTTTCATCCCTAATTCATGTCCAATCCCATTCCCCACAGTGGCTGGTTTTAATATTATTAATTTGCTTCAAGCTTAAAACCTGATTCTTCACTAACACACGGACTCCGTGGAAAAGATAAAGGACATGCCACCTCATTACCCTACTCAAATTTTTGTCATTTCTTCATTTTCTCTGGGCTGAGAGGGAAGGGAGCTCATTTCTCCCCGTTAGCCCCTCCTACAGGACCAGGTATCCCCAATTACCATCCTCACGGTGGCCTCATTTCTTCAGCCTGAAAACCAAGCTCAAACCTCTCCTTGTGCAGAACACCCTGCTCTGACTGTGGACTCCCTCCGCCCTGCCACCCACCCAACAAGCAATAATCAATTTTCACCTTCAGGGCCAAACCTCTTTGCCTGAAGTCCCATACAGTCATCTCTTCAACCTTCTACAAAGTCACTCAAATAGACTAGCTGCCATTCCCCAAACATACGTTTGTCTGCTCCCTTGGGGCCTAAACACAAGCAAATACTTTCTTTGGCCAGGACTATTCCATCCCAACATCTAAGTACCAATTCCTATCATCCTTCATGGTCCAGCTCAAATCCTACATCCTCCAATAAGCCTTCCCCAAGAACCCTCCAGTGAGTCAGTCAGTCCTTCCTTCCACGTGCCCCCTCAGACAGGAAGTGGTGGGTTCTAATAACTAAGCACAAACCACCTACCCTGCAGCCTAGGCAGTGGTGTTTATGTTTCTACCCTTCCGCAGACCCTGAGCCCCTCAGGGCAGAAGTGTAGAGCTACCTACATTCCTTTCATCTCCGTAACTCATTACCTCCATCAACCCATGCTTCCCCAATGATGACAAACCTCTTAACTTTGACATTGCTCTCAGAAATTGACAATACAGGGGGTGCCTGAGTGGCTCAGTGTGTTAAGCGTCTGACTCTTGATTTTGGCTCGGGTCATGATCTCATGGTTTGTGAGTTCAAGCCCCGAGTAGGGCTCTGCACTGACCGCATGGAGCCTGCTTGGGATTCTCTCTCTCCCTCTCTCTGTGCCTCCTCTGCTCTCTATCTAAATAAATAAGTAAATTTTTAAAAAGTATTAAAAAAAAGAGAAATTAACAACACGCTGCAAACTCTTCAACACTACTTTGAGGAGACACATAATATTGCTATTACTCTCAATTTATAAAGGTAAAAGAACTCCATCGCTAAAATTAAACTGAAGTTTGGAGTACACTTAGAGACAATCAGGAAAAGGTCCTAGCCCCATGCTTGTTCTACCTCAGTAACTCAGTACTTCTCGTTTTCATTGATCTACTTGTTGACTCTTCTGCCCTGCCTCACTGGGACACTGGACTGAGATTCAGGGAAAGCTGAAGCTGTAATTCTGTTGTGACGGCTATTCTACTCGATCATCTGCTAAGTCCTGCCATGCCTTCCCAGTTCCCAAAAGACCAGATCACATGCAAATAAGAATTCCCCAAGGAAGGTTCCTTGCCAGTGCCTGGGGGAAGAGAGGGGTGCTCCTTCACACAGCATGCTCTGTCGTGGAGTCCAGTCCTCGGACAGCAGGTGTTGAGGACAGCCTACGCACAGGGGCATCCTCACCTCAATGGCTGCTTTCCTCCCCATCTTTCAAGCCCTTTCTAGGTCTATTCTGAGATACTTAGGATTAGTAATTAGTCTAATGACTGTCAAGGGGATAGAATTAAGCCGATAACAATTACCAGGAATAAAAGCACATAGGAAACCTAGAGGTAAAGCAAGTTTTATTCTAAGATACAGTATTTTCCTTTCGTAAAAAAAAAAAAATGACTTCAATCCTGCATTAAGTTTCCATTTTCCTCTATGGAGGGAAAAAATGTTTTACTGCAACTAAGTATGTTTTACCACAAATGTACCCAGACTTATACAGGTGCCCCTTGAACAACAGGTGTTTGAACTGCACGGGCTCACTAACGTATTTTTTTTCAATATAGTACACTACTGTAAATGTGTTTTCCTTATGATTTTTTTACTAGCATTTTCTTTTCTCTAGCTTACTTTATTGTAAGAATACAGTAAATAATACTTTTACAAAATACAAGTTCATCAACTGGTTATGTTATCAGTAAGGCTTCCAGTCAACAGTAGGCTGCTAAGTATGGGGAGAGTCAAAACATAACACAAATTTGCGACTGCACTGGGGGTGAGGGCTCCTACCCCCCACACTGTTCAAGGGTCAACTGTATATGTTTTCAATATCCCACTAAGGTAAAAAGAGGTAAGATCACTATCCAATTCAAAGGGGAAAAAAATCTAAATAAATAAACTTTAAAAAAAAAAAGGGGGGGGATGCCTGGGTGGCTCAGTCGATTAAGCATCTGACTTTTGATTTCGGCTCAGGTCATGATCTTGTGGTTCATGAGTTAATGTCCCACATCAGGCTCTGCACTCAAGCCTACTTGTGATTCTCTGTGTCTGCCCCTCTCTCTGCCCCTCCCCCACTCTCACTCTCTGGCTCTCTCAAAATAAAGAAAGAAACTTCAAAGGGAAAAAAACAATCTCACTTCCCAACTATTTTAAATTGGGAAAGCGATCCAATTTGTAACCTCAATTACATACCTAAACAAGTAATTTATGCAGATAAAAACCATTCCAGAATTCAAAGATCAAAGAATATACTATTTACTAAAGCTGGAGAAATTCCAGTGCACTTTAGCAATTTTCAATGTGCCTTAATTGGATATTGAGAAAGAGAACACACTGTACTCTTCTTCTGACAATTAATAAAATATGGTTTCATGTCAATAGTATAAGTAATTCCTCAAAGTACATTCTGTCCTAAAAATAATTAGTTTGTGCTCATAAAAGTATAAAAATCAGTACTAAAAGAGATCAATTTTCTTCTCTGCTCTTTCTAAAAAAAGAATCCAGGATCTTTCCTATTCCCCAGGCATTTGGAATCAAAGAAAACTGAATGTGACAAAATCTTCCATGCTTTTCATTACTTTTTTCTAGAAGAATGTTTTTATTTTTTTTATTTATTTTTTTAGAAGAATGTTTTTAAAGGAAACACACCTCATGTCAAATAAATGACTTACACTTTTAAAATTCTCCAATACTTCTAAGACCACAAAAATAACACACTAACATTTACCCATTTTGTTTAAATCAGAAAAAAGCTACAAAACAAAAATCTCCCTAAATGAATCAGAACTTTAAAACCAAAAGTGCTCATTTTAACCAACAAGTGCTTTAAAGTATCATTCTTTTTTTAAATTATAATTTATTTGAGTAATCTCTACATCCAGAATGGGGCTCGAACTCATGACCCTGAGAAGGTCACAAGCTCTTCCAACTGAGCCAGCCAGGAGCCCCTAAAGTGTCCCTTATTTTTTTTTTTTTTCAACGTTTATTTATTTTTGGGACAGAGAGAGACAGAGCATGAACGGGGGAGGGGCAGAGAGAGAGGGAGACACAGAATCGGAAACAGGCTCCAGGCTCTGAGCCATCAGCCCAGAGCCCGACGCGGGGCTCGAACTCACGGACCGCGAGATCGTGACCTGGCTGAAGTCGGACGCTTAACCGACTGCGCCACCCAGGCGCCCCACTACTCAATTTTTAAACGTATGCATACTAAAAAGTAAGGTTAGGAAACAAGCTTCCCTCAAATGTAGCAATACCTATACAAATTAATATTCAGTTAATACTGTAATGTTAGCCATATTTTATAAAGATATCTGTCACTGCTCTAAAATGTTCTCATCGCCAGTGTCCTAGGAAGAAATTAAACACTTCAGAAATGCCTTTCACCAGGAAACTGAATAGTAATGATCAATCAACATGAATTAGATATGGGAATCATTATTCCCATTGCTTAATCAAAATATGATGACTTTATTTTAAGTACAGTTATAGAAGTTTATAATATATTGTTCCTATTACTTAATGCAGTATATCCCAAAACTCTAAGGATTAAAAACAATATTACTCAATTAATAGATTTGTATTTGGCAATTATAAATGGTTAAAATTGCTACAGGGAATAAAAATATGAAGGAAAATTCACATGTCTTCTCAGAAAACAATAAACAACACCCAGGATGAGGGGGGAGGTACGCACCTGCATGCACTTGTACGTGCACATGTGTTGGGAGGAAGGTACACTGTACTTCCGCAGCAGGAAGTGAGTGAAAATACAAGGCACAAAGTTAAACTGAAGGCTGCTATTTAGAAATACATGCCATGTGAAATAGGGAAAGAGTGAAAAATCTGAAATGTGAAAGAGTGGGACAGAGCACTGCTCCTTTTTGTTACAAGCTCTGCATCATCTTTGTTTTCCAACCATGCACCAAACTGACCTGAATACACCTGCGAACCAAAGCACACAGCAATGGAAAAGGTCTCACCAATAGTCATAGCTCTCATCCCAGTTGTCAAAATGTACCAGGAAACGATTGTCCACCATATCTGTCACCGTAGCAACACAGATGAACGCAGGATTCTTTTTGTCTACGGCTTCAAGCTTCATTCCAACTCGAAAGCCTGATGGGATCACTGTCTACGAAACGTGCAGATTTAATTAGAGATAAGCACACACTTAACAGCAAGATCTGCACCCTCTCTACACGTCCTGCTCCAGGACCTGGCATGCATCAGCTATGTTCACGTAATTTAAAGAGCATGTACCAGTTTTATGCCAGGTCAATTTCCAACAAGCAGCAAGAAGGGGGAAAAAATGCCTCATTGGTACATCCAAATAACTATCTGGACCTCAAGACTAAGACACCCACAACCTCACAGAGTTTAATTAAATTTAATATGTGTTTTGGACCGCAGTTAGACAGCTATACTAGTTAGGCAAGTTTTCTTTGCCATTTAGTTCACTTTTTGTTTTTCTTGTTCTTGATTACAGACTTAACAATGAAAATTATTTCATGCAAAATATGCACTTCATCAAGCTAGAAATGCGTATGAGTCAGTACAAGTTCACTCCCATTTCTGAAATGCTCTCTCAAAAGAGTACTCTACTGAAAGTAGGTCATCTTCATACATGAGAGGCTGCAAATTATTACAACTTTTACCTAACACTACAGATATTATTCACAATAGCACCAAAAGAACTGGCTGGATACATACAGCCATTCAAAACAGTTGGTAATATAAGGAAAGCCAAACATTACCAGCCATCTGGGACGTGGAACTAAGACAATAATATAGCTCGATAAGATTTAGTGCTTGAGGTGCAGTAAAATGTAAGCATTCCTTAGAATCTCGTGTGAGGAAATCTATCTGAACTTGGAGAAATGTACTTGGATCAGTTATGCCAATCGTAACACACGAGTGTTATTTCTATCCCTCTTAAGAAAAAGCTCTGTCCAGACTTAAGTATACAGATACTATTCTAATTACTTTAAGCAGAACAGATGTTATCTCTCATTTTACTATAATTATGCAGCTATCATTCCAAAAATGTAGACAGCCACGTACTGAAAATGTTAGCATACATCCCACATGACTAGAAGGAGCAGGCGTTAATGCTGCACAGACACTGGGACAGTACATTTTAGTCCTGAAATTATTTACCAGGGTTCTGACCACAGATATTTGAATATTCTGAGGTAGACGAATCCAGAAATAGAAAAATTAATTGCTTCTTGGATACCAAACACAGAGCCCAAGATTCAGTTGTGTGCTAGCAATGCACAGAATTGAAGATGACGGTTCAAGGCAGTTAATCAAATCCCTGACTGATCTCAACATCAGAGATCCAGACAGGGATTAGGAAACGTGGAGCGGGCCACTTAAGTTTTCCACCTAACTGACCTTCCTCCCTCGTCTTGACAGAGAATAGCTGCTGACAACGCAGTATTTACATTTCGGCAATTAAGCTCTCCTCTCGATTATGAGATTTTAAAATAATAATCTGGCTCATTAGCTCTATTAGTTACCTAAACACACACACACACACACACACACACACACACACACACACACACCTTCAGTTCTCTAATTCAACCTGGCTTATGTCTAATTTGATCAGAGAATCTTTCAGCCATTAGACAGATGCTCAAAACAACTGGTTAAAATCCTTTCCCAAATGGAAGGTGTTTGGAGTGGGTGAGATGGTCTTGCCCACCCCTGATATTCATCTCCTTTTGGAGAGAATCCCATTATTGAAACATGATCGTCTCTTTCTGCAGTCTCACTCACTGTTACCTGACTGGTGAATCTGAAAGGAGGAACTCATCGTACTCTTAAGGGTAAGCTGGCCTAGAGGGCATGGAGCTTGCACTGTGCTCCTCTAGGGGCATGCTCTAGACCTGCAAGAATGCAGGCCTGCCCTGCTCTAGTGCTCCTGGGCCTGGGTGATGGGGCGCAAGGGCCAGTACATCTCATTAATTCTAGGTCTCAGAATCAAGAAGCTCAATCGTCATCAGACAGAGGCCATGCGGGTACTCCAACTGAGCCTTTATCCGCTATAAAAGAGGACATTTTGCCTTTGCACCTGCTTGCTCTCTGTTAATTCCAATTAGACCAAACCTTGGACAAGGAAGAAGAGTGGAACGTGATGGGCCTCTTCAGAGGTGCAACAGGGAACATGCAATGGAAAGTGGGAATACAGGTCAAAAAAGGTAGGAAATACATACACATTCAGACTTTGCTTCTGTTATAGGCAAAATAAAGCTACAAGCCGGGGTGAAGGTAAATCCTCTTCCCCAGCAGTAAATCCAAACTGGGCTACATTCATCTGCCACATGAATCCCATTTCAACAGTACTTGAAACACGTGACAGTAACAATAAAATATCCGAGTCAATTTAATCTGTTATGCACTTTCACTGCAAATTACACCTGGGTTTCAAACTCTGTAGCCTTCTACCATTCAATAAAACACAACAACCATGATATGCCTATAAAAAACATTGATTCACAATGATTTTAAGCTAATTTTAAAGTTTAATGAAGAGTGCTCTATTTACCAAAGCAATAAAATATATTTAGTCTCTTGTTATCATTTATACTTTATCCTATCAAACACCCAAAAGTCACCTCCTTTAAAAGGAAAAGTATCTTGGATGTACTTACTATATTCTGATTTTCAAATAATGACTTGGGAGCAGCTTGGGCTTTGCATGTCTTTAGATAGGTCTGCCAATTAAATTCTTCTTCTTTATAACCTTGGATAAGCACATATATACAGATTGAGTAAAATATCAAAATATTTCACACTTAAGTTTCCATTCCCACTTTTACCTACAACTCCAACATGCTGAAATCAAATAATTGATTTTTTAAACAGACAAAACTGAACTCATAATTCAGAACTATGGATTTTTTTTTCTTACACAGGCTGTGTTTATTCCCAACAAATTGTATTATATTTTCTGTGCTGAATGAAGGATAATAGACACAAAGAAAAGGCAAAAGGAAGCAAATATGTATCATACCCAGGTACACTTCTGATTGCCAGGCTGTTTCTATCAGTATTTAGGCAGAACTACTCAGCAGTAGACTAGTGAACTGGAGGAGTCAAAATCTGGGGAAATTTATTTTTCCCTCACCTATTCTATTTTGGGAGGCTAACTTGTCAGAACAAGTGGGAAGCTGGAGAAAACAGTAATAAAAGAGATAAAATCTTTTCAGCCTATCAGCACAAGAATGACAATTCAAGATTTATGAAGTAAGCATGCTGGCAAATTACAATAATGGAAATGTGCTTGCCTTAATGCTCACAATTTCACATTTAATGCTGTTAAAGCCAACATTTCCTTTAAAAAGGAAGTTGAGCATTTTATTTTATCTGCTCATGTGCTCTCTTCTCCTTCCGTTACAGTTCAGAAGGCAGCATGAAAAGAATAGCTAATAATTCGCCATATACAAGAGGTCAATTTATACAAAGGCTTACAGATTTTCTTTTTCACCCTCATTTTTTCTCATTTTTTCCTCAGCCATCTGAAAATGCTAGTCTGACATTATTTTTCACTTAAAACCAAAGGACGGCTAGTCCATTAAAAAGTAACAGCCCCGAGACAGGCCAAAAATATCAAACCAGTCACCTGGATCTTTGACATCAAGTAAACAATACCAAATGTAACCCTTGAAAAGGAAGGAAATAAGATACTATTAAATACATTAGGGATGGACTGAAAAAGATGGGATCTGTTATTCCTGGATCTTTATGTAAACACGAAACAGGCAAAACCACTGGCAGACTGTATTACAAAGAACTCAGCAATAAAAATGTAATTGCTATGAGTTCAATCCCCACCTAAATCAACTTTTAGCACTACATTCTCCTTCGTAAGTGCCTAAATATTAAGATCTATAAGTTCAATTCATAATTTCTCAAGATTTTCTATATAATGAAATATCAGTAGATGAGCTCAGTCATGTAAACACGTTGGGACAAAGTTTTCAAATCTGTTTTTTCAAGGATATGTATCTTTGACCCTGAACAACACAGGTTTGCACAGTACAGGCCCACTCATCCTTATGATTTTCTTCATAACATTTCCTTTTCTCTCGCTTACTTTATTGTAATATATGTAATTTACAAAACATATGTTAATTGACTCTGTTATACCAGTAAAGCTCCTGGGCAACAGTAGGCTGTTAGTAATTAAGTTTTTAGCAAGTCAAAAGTTACATGTGGATTTTCAACTGTGCTGGGGGTTGGCACCCCTAACCTCTGGGTTATTCGAGGATCAACTGTGTGTAGCCCCGGTTAGAGCCGGTAGGTGGGGGACTAAATGAAAAAAACTCTGTAACTAAAATTTATACTCAAAATTAAGTCTCAGTCAAATGTTAATTTGTATACAAATAAGTACATGGACACAGTTTACTCTCTTACGTAGGGTTCTACTTTTTACATTTCTGTCACTTTAATACACGTTTTTGGGTTTTTTTTCATGAACAATGAGCTTGAATTTGGGCCTATGTGCATCTTAACAAAGTCTGAATTCCTAAAAATTCCAAATCACCATGTAAGAAAAAAGGTTTTTTGACAATAAATTATATTTACTATAAAAAATAAGTTAACTAATAAATTAAAAAAAGTTCTTGCAGAATTTAAAGTATGAAACAAAAAAGTGACACCACCTTTTGGAGGATGGAGTTTGTGGCCAGTTTTCTCACACCACCCAACCGGGTGAATATCGAGAGCATCCGCGTTTACCCAGAAGTCATAGCAATCAGAATATCCATCAAAGTGCAGTTTTATCCGATATCCACACACCTGAAATAGGGAAGCACGAAGACTGACTAAAGGCAAACAACACCCCCCGCCAAATACCCAGAATATCTGTGTAAAATTTATTTACAAAATAAAATAAAATGTATTAATCTAAGTGCAAAAAGAAACTAACATGGACATCAAGTATGACACGGCCTATGTTAATCAAAGTACACTCACTAACAGCCACAAAATCCAGTGAACAAACTGCCAACCTCTAAAGGCAAAGGCAACGCATTGGGAAGAGCTGAGCCGCATTTGCTTTGGCCTCATTCCCAGTTGTGTCAGGAGCACATAGATCCTGGGAGAAGAATGATTTTCCCACATGTACATGTCCTCCCTCCATTCTTGATATTGTACCAGCATAAGTCACCAAGGTGAGCCGGCCGGCCGGGATGGAGCCAGCCCAGCACGGGTGCGCAGCTCCAGCAGAGTCCCGGGGTGGGCGCCCTGCCATACACCGTGTGAATGCTGGCTCCTATCCTGTATAAAGCTCTGCAGACAGGGATATGCAGCCAGACCAAGGCGGTACACGGAGGGATATCAACAGATTCTCCTCTCCACCAGTAGCTGGGTTGGGAGAAAGAAAGAAAAGCCTTCCTCAATTCACAGGTTCCCTGGAATGCCAGTAAGAACCCACTTCACGGAATGTGGGTTGAATGCTGAGGCCATACATCTTCCTAAAGGGTCCCTCTTGAGGAAGTTCTGACTTAAAAAGGTCACATGGGTTTTTGAGGCTTCAGCTGGGTCACACTCTGCCGTGGGCTCTTATGAGAAGTTCAGCCTCTCAATCTACTTCCTACTAGCACAGCAGATGTGTTCAAGTGGAACCACACAACGCACCAGACATCTCAACACGCCAGGAGCACCTGGCCCTGTAGAAGCCGGAAGAAGCAGCTTGAGACTAGTGCACAGAACCAGGGCAATTAACAACCCCCAGATAACAAGGCAGCTGTCTATTTCCTGCCATGGCAAGTTCTCTGAAACATACTGTTAAAATTCAAGTGGCGAGGCACATGGGTGGTTCAGTCAGTTAAGCATCGGACTCTTGATTTTAACTCACGTCACGATCTCACAGGTTTGTGAGTTCAAGCCCCAAGTCAGGCTCTGCGCTGTCAGGTGGATCCTGCTTGGGATTCTCTGTTGCTCTCTCTCCTCCTCTCCCACTTGCATGTGCACGTGGGCACACATATGCACACGCATTCTCTCTCTCTCTCAAAATAGTAAACTTTACAAAAACTCAAGCGGTAAAACAAACTGCACAGGATGAGTCAGTTTATGAGAAAAATTACTTCTGTGTGAATCTATGTAGATTTTTACGTGTATGTGTACACGTGCCATTACGTACACGTGTGCACATACATATACGTGTAAGTATATGTATTTATACATGCACATTTATGTATGTACTTACACGTACGCCTATAAATGTAAATTCACAGTAGTAAAACGTCTGGGAATATATGCCAAAATATTAACAATGATTTATTCTGAGGAGTGGGAGTGAAAAGGGAGAGGTCAAAAGGAAATGATGGGCTTTTTATAGTTTATCTCATATGTTAGTATTTTTTCAATTGGAATGTCTTGATACGTTACATATATAAGATTTACGAGTGAGCGGACTCCTCTCCAGGGAGACTAGAGTCCCTCTGCACAGCCAAGGTGGGGTTCCAGGCAGGTACAATCTCTCGTAAACAGTAAGTGACGGCCCCCGCCCCATGTCCACCCCGCGTCCAGGAGGAGCTCGGCGGCCGCTCCTCTCTTTAGCCCCAGAGCTACGCCAACCTGCTCTGGTCAATGCCCAAGAAACAAGCCTCCTGAGTGCCTTAACCCTCTAGTCCCTCTGGGTTCAACTGCTCTGAGCTTCACCTCCCAAGTCAACCTCTCCCTCCTGGGCCCACAATCTCTCCACTGTGTCTTGTGCACTCTGGAACCCTCTGGTTTGGTACACAACCTCCCACATCCTCAGCCTCCTTGTTCAAAAGCGTATGTCACACATCCCTGTCAAGGCTTCCCTCAGGTGGAGACTGCTGCTTCTCCCCCTCCTTCCCTCTGAGACCCAGGCAGGGTTACTGCCTCAGGCCGCGCCACACTCCAGGGTCCCTGCTCCTCTGAGTACCTTGAAATGTGGCTGCACCACCTCGTCCTTATCAGCCCACATGCTGTCCTCCCCAACATCCCTTCTCACTCATCAGACACGAAGCTCTGGCTTACTCTCTTCATCTCCATTCTGAGTGGTTCTGCCATACACACGGATGACTCATCCTCTACCTTGGCTCCTCTGCTCCCTGCATTTCCTCTCCACTTCAAACACTCTCATGAATCTTGTCCCAGGAGAAACTACACTGCCTCTCAACTATGGAAGCGTCCAGCCCTGTGAAGACATCCTCCTGTTCAGCTGGCTAACCCAGCTACTCCCTATACACTTCCTCCTCAACCTCAATGAGAAGTCCAGCATCTCACGCTGGTTCTTCTACTTTTCCCCTAGCATCCCCCGGCCACCGTGGGCCTTCCGTCCTTAGCAATCATTTTCTTGCCAACATCTTTAGATTGTTGGCCCGAGGTCCTTCCCTCCTTCCCAAAATACATGCCTGACAAAATTCCATTATCCCAAGTACCCACCTAGTCTGCACCTATACCTGGTCTAGGGAATGTTGCTGGGGGGTGGGGAGGGGGAGAAGACACACACTTAACCCTTATTATTCGTGACTTCCTAGCTGCGATTTCACCTACGTGATAACATCTGTACCCACAGTGCCTGGGAACAGATGCACGCACAGAGCGGCGAAAACTGTGAGCCGCCTATCATGCGAGTTCCTGGCTCAGGTCGAAGAAGGCAATGCTCTCTCTGCCTTCTTGTTTTACATCTCATTCTGTACGCCGAACACCCTGTGCACAATCTAGTTACTGCTATGTTTTTCACATTTGTGCTTCCTGTGGGTGATTCTGCTATTTGGAATGGCCCCCGAGCACAGTGCCGAAGCACTGGCTGGTGCTCCTAAGTGCAAGAAGGCGATGACGCGCCTTAAGGAGAAGATGTGTGTTAGGGCAGCTTCATCAGGCGTTGAGTTATGGTGCTGTTGGCTGAGCCCCATGTTAATAAACCAACAACAGATATTAAAGAAGATGTCACTAAACACAAATATACATGAACAAGGTTACATATTGTTCGGCTGATGGAAATGTGACCAGAAGCTCCTGGGAACCTAATCCTTGAAGCAACGGTCAGGATTTGCGATTCATGGCTTACAACTACCACAAATGAGAATCACATGCACCTGGACGGCAGACACTCCCTGTTCCATCCCTGCTGTGTGGCAATCCTTCTAGATGGCCCTGTCCAGTTCTACTCCCATCCTTCACAACAGCCCTTTCACCCTCCTTCAGCTACACCTTCACGTGACCTTCTGTGACAAAGAAGCTCCCTCACACATCTGTCTCCAAACTAGCAGACCTGCCCGTGCATGTGCACATCCTCCCCACCCCCCACCCTGTAAGAACCCAACAGGAGAGTCCTGCTCCTGGCTAATGGGTGGGCCTCCTCATGTACTCAGGATTTCATCTTCCCATATCCCCTCCTTATCAATGATCTGCTCTCTCTGAACCTTCCAATCTTCTGCTCCCTAGTTGCTTTTTTTTCAGAATTCATTCTCCAATCTCTTCCCATTGCAAAAAAAAAAAAAAAAAAGGGGGGGGGGGCGGGGAGGAAGACAAAGAAAAGTAAATAGAGACTATCTCTCAGGCTTAGGCAAACAAATTCTCATACAACTGTTAAACTTTTTTTGTAACAACTGATAAACTCTTTGGAACAACAAGTAGCTGTGCGCATCAACAATTTCCATTTTAATCATGCTCACAAGGCACTGTCTGTAATAATGAGAACAATGAGAAAGTAAAGACCACTCAATTGTTCATCCATCTGAGAGAAATTAAATGAATAACAGAAAATAAGTAAAATGCACTACTACTCGATGGTGGAAAACAATATGCATGTAAAATATATGATACACCGTCATAAAAGCAAGCTTCAGAACTGTTGTGCAATTTACATGTAAAAAAGAGAAAAATGTACATATTTTTACAAGCAGAGAAAACATTTGGAGGGAACGCAGGAAACACATAAGAGTCATTAACTCTGGGATATGGAATAAGGAAAAGAAGGTGGTGTGATAGAGAACTTTTACTTTTTATAATAAATACATATATTTATATATTTATATATTTATATATATTCTTACACTAGTTGAAGTTTTCATGATGAGCAAACATTACTGTTATAATAAAAGACTGGGGGCGCCTGGGTGGCGCAGTCGGTTAAGCGTCCGACTTCAGCCAGGTCACGATCTCACGGTCCGTGAGTTCGAGCCCCGCCTCAGGCTCTGGGCTGATGGCTCGGAGTCTGGAGCCTGTTTCCGATTCTGTGTCTCCCTCTCTCTCTGCCCCTCCCCCGTTCATGCTCTGTCTCTCTCTGTCCCATAAATAAATAAAAACGTTGAAAAAAAATTTTTTAAAAAAAGACTGGACGAACTAAAATAGATCTCCTTCAAAATCAAGAGTTGAAACACACACACACACACACCCCTTAAAAAGATCCCCTTCTCTTTTGCAACTAAACTTCTCAAAAGCAGTCCACACTTACTGAATCTGCTTTTACATTTACTGAACAATGCTGTCTCAACTGTTTGTGGGGAACTAGCGAAAATACTAAGCACGGTATTGTCCTATGGTACTCTCTACGTAACCATGTATCATTATTTACTGTAACTGTCATGGTCCATGTAGGAGATGTCACTGAGTTCCACAGGAGCCACGCTTCTTACAAATTCCCTAAGCTACTATGGGAATACTATGATAACTGAAACTAACACACAAGACCACCTTACTCTTTTGGGGGGAATTTTCAAGTGATACATACCCCTGGCTCAAGGGAGGAAGGAAGTTGGACGCTAGCACAGGAAGAAAAAAACAAATTCTAAGAAGTGCTCTCAGGAATATACTAGACTAAGCTATATGTAAATAGACTTGGACAATTTTTCCTGAAAAATTTCACAGAGATACCTCAAAATACTAAAAAAAGTATATGAGCTAGAGTATTATGCTAAGCGAAGGAAGTCAGTCAGAGAAAGACAAGTACCATACGATTTCACTCATATGTGGAATTTAAGAAACAAAACAGATGAACATAGAGGGGAAAAAAAGAGAGAGGGGCAAACTGTAGAGAACAAACTGAGGGTTGCTAGAGGAGAGGAGGGTGGAGGGATGGGATAAATGGGTGATGGGCATTAAGGAGGGCACTGGGTGGGATGAGAACTGGGTGTTATGTGTTAAGTGATGAATCACTCAATTCTACTCCTGAAACTAACAGTACACTCTATGTTAATTAACTGGAACTTAAATAAAACTTGAAACAAAAAAACCAAAAAATTAAAAAATTAAAAGTTTATAAGTACCTATTGGTCTGTTTTTCTATATTAAGGAACCACAGTATGACCAAAGCTATGGAGTCAGATAGTGTGGGGTCAAATCCTGGTTCTACCACTTTGAGGCTGTGTGACCTTGTATATGTCACTTAGCCTCTCTGAACCTCAGTTCCTTTATCAATAAAACAGGGATGAAAAAACAGGACCTGCAAAGCTTATAAACGAATCTTACAAAGATTCAATGAGGTCACGTACAAAGCAATAAGCATCATGCCTGGTGCAAAGAAGTACTCAACAGATGGCACTTGTCCCCATTATTAAAATCCCATAACCACCATTTTATTGCAGAAATAAAGACAAAGCAAACTTACCTCAGCCACAGTGAGGACACAGTACACGGACTGATGCTCGGGGTCCACACCTTCTAATTTCATGCCAACTTTAAACCCATTTTTGTTATATGGAAAGGATTGATACTAAAATGCAAAATGACAGCAGTTTTAGTATGTTATCCTGAAGGCCTAATTAAAGTGTGAATTATTAACGTTCTTAAATAAAGACTAACCAAATACATAAACAACTCTTAAAAACCCCAAAGAAAGGGGATTTTCAACCTCACTCGTAAGAGTCATACAAAGTAAAATTACACTCAAATATATGTTACCTAATCAGATTCATAAGGATCACAATGTTTGATTACACAGTGGCGGCAAAGCTCTAGAGAAACAGGCACATACGTACATCACGAGCAGGGATTAAAGTGGCACAACCCGTAGCAATTTCACAATATCTATAAAACAGGACGTTCTGTTTGTCTCAGGAATTCTAATTCTAGGAAATTAGTGCACAGCGATATCCACAGGTGTGCAAAATGACAGGTGTACAAGGCTATTCACTAAAACATACGTTTGTGTGTGTTGTGTGTGTGTGTGATATATGTGTCCTATACTAACACACACACACAAGCCAACCAATAGGGAGTAGCTTAACTTGTTATGGAACAGACCTAAGATGCCATACGATGCACTATTATAGAAGAATGAAGAAGGGCATAACGAACTGAGATTTCCAAACTAAGTTAAAAAAAAAAAAAACAAAGTCTAAAAAAACACACACAGTATGTGTGACATATGCTACCCCTTGGCTGACGACAGGGAGGACAGGATCTGTGTCTGTCTGTGCTGATCTGGACACAGAATTTTGTAAGAAGGGAATATAAGAGCGAGCAATGATAATCACTTCAGGAGAGGAAGAGCTGGGACCTGGAGGGTAGGGCTCTGAGGGACATACTGCATATTCTTCTGGTACTTTTATAGTGTCGATTACATGACTGTGTTACTGATTCGAGTAATTAGCTGCATTTAAGCTTTTTTTTTTTTTTTTTACATGTAAAAAGGTCTAGTCTACAAAGAATCAAAATTACAGAAAATAATTATATAGAACAAGTTCATATGTAATTACAGTTATGTTTAAATAATATTCTCAATGTAGATGTAATCATTATAACATCGACTCTTTGTTCACTTTTTTAAAATTCCCCATGTCCGGGCACCCGGGTGGCTTAGTTGGTTAAGCGGCCGACTTTGGCTCAGGTCGTGATCTTGTGGTTCGTGGGTTCAAGCCCTGCTTCGGGCTCTGTGCTGACAGCTCAGAGCCTGGAGCCTGCTTCTGATTCTGTCTCCCTTTCTCTCTGCCTCTCCTTCCCCCATGCTCGCTCGCTCTCTCTTAAAAACACATAAAACACTAAAAAATTCAAAAACAAAACAAAAACTCCCTATGTTAATGCATATATACCAAGGTATCAACAGATTTATTATGTACCATGATTAAATATAATTAAATAATTTAAATCAGGGTTCAGCAAACTATCCTCTCTCAGTCAACTCCAAACCTCAACCTGTTTTCGTAAGTAAAGTTTTAGTAGACTACAGCCGTAGCCCTTCACTTATATATCGTCTATAGCTGCTTTCATTACAACAACATAACTGAGTCACTGCAACTGAGACCTGATGCCCCACAAAACCTAACACACACACCTTCTGGCTCTTTCACAGAATAAGTTTGCTGACCCCCCCGCACCCCCGCCCCTTCAGCCCAGGGGCAGCAGCCCCTACTCAGAACTTCACTTGGTGTCTATAATTCGAACTGATTTTAAATCACTTATGACAAAATGTTTTTACTACAGTTAATGTAACATGGTAACTTCTTTTAGGTTTTTCTTGAGAAATCATATAAACCTCAGTCACTCGTTTTTGTTTCTCCCAAAGCCATAATGTCGACACGAAATTTCATGCCGGTTTTTCTTCATCTACTAGCTTTGCAGCAATAGTAGAGGTATCCCTCTTAAAAGTCATGAATGAAATCCCAGTAAATATCGAGACGAAAGAGCATGTGCATCTGCATGTGGGCCCATCCGTGTGTGTTGGAGGACTGTGAGTACACATGCACATCAGTTGCCCTTGGAGTTACTCCTCCGTGTAAATACACTCATGAAAACAGTATGCTTGAGAAATGATCCCAAGTCACATTTCCCAAACACATACTGGAAACATCAATGCTAATTCCAGATCAGAATTCCAGAGTCTTCTCTCTTATAGACAATGCTTTCTAGAAGCGCCCATACCTCCTTGAACAGCTTGGCTGGCACTGCCACAGCTTTTTCCTCTTCCAGGTAGGACGCCCAGCACCAGGCTTTCTTTCCCTTAGGAGGCAAGCCTGAAAAGCAAGTGAGACGAAGATGATAGGGTTTCCAAATCTAGGAAGTCAAAGGGGTATCCTGTGAAGACTCACTTCCCCAACTACTACCACGCCCGGTATTTCTCAGCCTCTTCCCAGGCCTCCCAAAGAAGCGAGAGCTAAGAAGTAAACTGTGGTGTACAACCAGTTACAACGGTAGCTGCAGAAGAACCTAGAATAAAAGAAGGAGACACAGCAGGAAACCGAGATAGAACAGTATCATGAAATGAGATGATCAAAAAATGCCTCCTGAGGGGCGACTGGGTGACTCAGTCGGTTAAGTGTCTGACTTCAGCTCAGGTCATGATCTCGCGGTTCGTGAGTTTGAGCCCTGCGTTGGGATTCTCTCTTTCTCCTTCTCTCTCTGCCCCTCCCCAACTTGAGCACATGCTCTCTCTCTCTCTCTCTCTCTCTCTCTCTCTTTCTCTCTCTCTCTCTCTCGCAAAATAAATAAACTTAAAAAAAAGGTTTCCTGGGGCACCTGGGGTAGCTCAGTTGGTTAGGTGTCCTACTTTGGCTCAGATCATGATCTTACAGTTTCTGAGTTTGAGTCCCACATCAGGCTCGCTGCTATCAGCACAGAGCCCGCTTTGGATCCCCTGATTCTCTCTCTCTCTGCCCTTACCCTGCTTGCAAGAGCACTCTTGCAAGTGCTCTCTCTCAAAAATAAATAAACATTTGGAAAAAAAAAAAAAAAGTTTCCTGAGATCAAGAAGCTGAGGACTGGCAAGAGGGCAGTGCACTGAGTACGTAGGGAATGGCTGCTAACCTGGGGGCGGCGGGGGGGTGGGGGTGGATATCAATTTAGCAAGGGCCAGATTTTGAGCAGCAAAAGAATACAGAAGTGATAAAGATATGCAACCAGCCAGTATCACTTTTAATCTGGGTTAATTTAACAGATAATGGAAATGAGGGAAGAGTATAATAGCTTGATGGGTAGCAAAACTGGGAGAAAGGTATTTAGGGGATGAGATGTGAACGGGCTAAGATGGAGCTCGAAGAGAAAAAAATCTGAATACCTAACAGGGAAAAATAAATGACTAAAGGAACAAGGTTCCAGAAGAGTCAGGGCCCTGAAGGTAGAAGAGAAGAAGGTTAAAACATTTGTGAGGCAGACAGCAGAGTGAGAAATTTACCCCCCTCTAATCTCAGTGATGTAAAACAGAAGGTCACGTCCCCCGAGAATGTAAACGCCAGGCTGTGTGCCTGAGGCAGGTGGGAGTAGTTCACGCTTTATTTGAGAAATGGAGGGATGAACAAGACAGGAAGGCGTCCACGCAGTGAAAGGCGCACTGGGTTCACGGCCCCGATTTGCAGGGACAGCATGAACAGAGAGGTTGGCAGTGGGGCTGCACAGAGTGGCGTGACCTCACGTGACACGCTGGCAGGCAGATGCTATGGGTCAACAAAGCAAGACAAAACCTGGTGGAGGACGCTGAGGCCTCCATGGAAGTGGCCAAAGGGCCATGATGCACATGGAGTTCAAGTTCATCCAGTCAAGTACAAAAGGAAAGGGTCCGGGGACTGGATTTGTCATGAAAACAAAGTGCTGCCCGAGGAACAGTGAAAGAAGCAAAAAAGGTTCCACATCGGGAGTTTAAAGTTTGAGATCAAACATTAAAAACTTAAAATCTTAGGGGCGCCTGGGTGGCTCAGTCAGTTAAGCGTCCGACTCTTGATTTTGGCTCAGGTCATGATCTCATGGTTTGTGAGTTTGAGTCCTGGATCGGGCTCCACGCTGGTAGTGTAGAACCTGCTTGCGATTCTCTCTCTCCCTCTTTCTCTGCCCTCCCCTGCTTGTGCTCTCTCTCAAAATAAGTAAACTTAAAAAAAAAAACAAAAAAACCCCTTAAAATCTTAGGAAATAAGGACAAAGGTTTTAGAAAATGTACAGAAGGAGAAAAAAACCTACTCAACAGAAAAACATAGGAAGATGTTTTCAAGTTTGCACTGACATTATTCAAAAGTTACTCATTTCCATTTTTTTCTTTATCTACTTCTTCAAACCCCGATTTTTATGGACAAAATTTAATCAAAGAAAGACCCAAAACAAAACCTTAATGGCCCTTGTGTACATTATAATTAAGACTAAAATGTCTACCTTTGTGAAATATTTTCCATTTCATAAAGTCACAAGTAAACCATTTCTTTCGTCAACTTACCCTGCTTTATTACAGTCGAATCACCTCGCCTTTTCCTTCGGGCTCTCTGCGAACCCCTCAGGATTCTTCCATCTTGTTTGTTTTCCTACAGCAAGAAAGGGAAATTACGATTTTACAAGCTCATGAAATTGGCACCAACGAAAAGTTAGAGAGCTGTCAGAAAGCATTATTCTTTTTTGTACTTTTCTTCAATTTCACTTTGTAAGTTTTAAAGAAAGTAAGAATATAGGTCATATGAGAACTGTGTTGCTTTTGGCCTGAGGTCATTACCAAATAAGAACGTTTCCAAGAATTACACTCTGGAACTGCACAGATACTGTTCCTGCCTTCTTGAAGCACTTTCTTCTTGTAGCTCCTTGACCACTTTGTTCTGATTTTCCTCACACCCCATTGGCCCATCTTTCTCAGTCCCTTTGCTGATGTCTCCTCCAATCCAGTCCCTTTCTCTTCTCTATCGAATCCCTCTTCCTGGGTTTTAAACATCATCTGTCTGCCAAATATCCACAGTCATATCCCCTGACCTCGTCCCTGACTCCACACTCACAAACCCGACTGCCCACCTGGGATCTCCACTTGGAAGCCTAACGAGCATCTCAAACTCCTGATTCCAAAGGACTCTAACTTCTGTACTCCAGTTTTGCCTTCCCATCTTCAATAAATGGCATCGTTATCCAGTCGACTATTCAAGCCAAAACTTGAGTTATTCCTGACTCCTCTTTCCTGATGACCCTGCCTCTAACATCTACCCTGAAATCAGTGACTTCTACCCTACACAGCCCTTTCAGCTAGTCTACTGCAATAAACTAACAGCCTTCCTTGATTCCATTCTGTCACACATCAAAGCTAGAGCCATCACTTGGAAACGTAAACCCTATCAACATATTCCCTTGCCTTCAACTTTCCAGTCCCAGCCCACACAAAACAGAATGAAACCCCATTATTCGGGTTTATCATAAAGCATTACATAGGCTGGACCTCTTCAGCTTCACCTTACTCCACCCTCCCTTCACCTGTAAGGGTCAACCATATTGTCTTTATTTCCTCAACAAAACATATTACACATGTTCTCACCTTAAGGACTCTTCCCTAGCCACTCCATTGCCCAGGGGGCTCCTCACTCCTACTTTTACAAACCTGACTCCTTCTTATTATCAAGATCACACAGTTCATACCACCTTCTCTGGGAGGCCTCCCTGAGAACCCAACTGGAAGCAGTGAATCAATTCTCATGCCCGCCTGTACTTCTCACCGTAGCATTTATCATAGGCTGACAGGTCTCCTGTTTATTATACGTCCCCTTAAAAGAATGTGATGTCCCTGCGAGGAGAGACCCTATTCTCCTAATGCTGTTCATCCCTGTGTTCCCAGCTCCTAGAAGAATGACTAGCAAATAATTGGTTGCTCGATATTGATCTGAAGGGAAATGCTTCAAGACCTCAAAGTTCTCTTTTCGTATAGGACCATTAATATGTACTTTAGCAATATTTATGTTTTAATTAGCACATTTGGAATTAGTTTCCCCTAAATATACCTGACATTTATATGCCATTTTCTACCTACTCACATAGTTTTATGAGATCTGTCTGCAATTTACCAAAATGGGATTGACATTTTTTGCCATCAAGAGGAATTAAAGATTCATTTGTACAACTGAAGGTTTTGCTGTTGCCTTTTCTCTCCAGTAATAAATGTCAGCACATCTTACTTCCTCACCCTAAGGAAGGAGTATTATTATTTATTATTCTCATTTTGAAATGCAGACAGTGACATACCAAAGCGGGTAGACAGGTAATTTGTTGATGGTAACACAGAGAGTCATGGAACCAGCCCTGGAAGTCAGATAACTGGCTGCAGAGCCAGCACCTTTGACCATGGTGTTACTCTCTTAAGAAGTGCCCCTGTATCAGAGCACCTGGTGGCTCAGTCGGTGAAGCGTCCAACTTTGGCTCAGGTCATGATCTCATGGTTCATGAGTTTGAATCCCACATTGGGCTCTGCACTGACAGCTCAGAGCCTGCTTCAGATTCTCTCTCTCCTTCTCTCTGCCCCTCCCTAGCTTGCCCTCTCTCTCTCTCTCTCTCTCAGAAATAAACAACAACAACAAAAATACCCTGAGTTCTTTGGTAGTTGCATCAGAGATACTAACCATTTCATCATCCCGATCTTCTCCATCCTCCTTGGAGTCAGCTTTCAGAGATAATTTTGGTTTCTTCTTCCGACTACACTTAGGATCTTCTTCCTCATTGTCCTCTCCTACGTCCCTTTCTTCCTTCTGATCTCTGTTGTATTTATAAACCCAAAATAATGACAGGAAAACAATACCTGTCAAACATCTACATGGTGACTATCATGCAACTTAAAAAAAAAAAAGTCATTTAACCACCAGGAGAAGGAAAAACATTTAACCACCAGGAGAAGAGTGTAGGCATTAGGATATCATAGCTAAGGAACACCTAAAACCATAATCATATATGACTCTTCAAAGCAGAAAAGGGAAACTAGCTTATATATTAATTTCAAAAGGGGATCAGTACTATATGTGAAACAGGTTCTAACAAGTTTAGAATGATTGGTGTTTCACATCTGCCATCCATACTAATAAAAGAATCAATTACTTAGAGATATTTTAGTATTTGGGCAATTTTAATGCAAAGATCTAGCAATTATTAACAATGACAAGTGCAACTAAAAAAGGCCAAGTATAACTTTGTAAAATAAAAGTTGGCCAGCAAAAACAGATAATTCCCAGGCCTACCCTGGTTAAAATACCTGGGAAATTCCACTAAAATGTTTAAGTGTCAAGTCACTTATTTGTGTTATACAATTATATGAAGAAATACACCTTGGTGATAAGCTGAACTTTGTCAGACAGTCCCCAGATGGCCGAGTCACATAGCACCACCAGCCACAGCGGACGTCCCTGTCTCGTAATCTTCAGTCTACAGAAATCTACAGTATTGTGACTCAGTAAGCCACTCTCTATGGCCATCTTCAGTCAGCTGGTTCCCAACCTGTGGAGTTTTAGCTGAGTTACTGAAGACCCCCCCCCAACATAAAAACAAAACTCTGTTTCCATAAACATCAGCGCCATCAAAATGTACGTAGCCCAGAGAAATTTAAATATTCTCTTGCTAGGGGGCACTCACTGGAATCAAAAGGCTAAAGAAAGAGGCAGAGGTTGTACTTGTAGGTAGGACTTAAGCAGTACAACTAAGATCAGACATGACTGAAGTCAGGAGGTCCAGTAACGGGATCAGGGTCCACAGACCTCTAAAGGAAAAGTCTCTGGGGGAAAAAAGGGGCATGAAGGTGTGACAGATGTCAGGGAGCCTCTGTATTCCTTAGCACCTTGGACTCTAAAACCCATTTTATAGGGGCGCCTGGGTGGCTCAGTCGGTTAAGCGTCCGAATTCAGTTCAGGTCATGATCTCACGGACTGTGAGTTCGAGCCCCGCATCGGGCTCTGTGCTGACAGCTCAGAGCCTGGAGCCTGCTTCAGATTCTGTCTCCCTCTCTCTCTGTCCTTCCCCTGCTCACACTCTGTCTCCTTCTCTCTCAAACATAAACATTAAAAAAAAAAAAATTAAAAACAAATAAATTTTTAAAAAAACCCCATTTTATAGATGGAACAGGGCAAAAACCTACTTGTCTTTGATATGCCGGGCACAATTCTGGCTGCAATAGTTTCCTCCAGAAAGACACTCATCTACGTTGCCATACTGACAACAGTTCTCACAGAATTGAAGCCCTTCTACTTTCACTGGATCCTTCAACCTGAAAGGCATCCCAGTCTTCTCTGAAAAGACTAGAAGGTGAAAAGGGGAAAAGAACAAAAACAAAAAAAACACACACAGAAAAAAACAATTAGAACCATGACAGAAAACATTGCAAAACACAAACTTTTCCTTCTAATAATTTTGTTAGCAACACAATAAAAGATAATATTTGCTGAATGAATGAATGACCAACCTACTGTGCTTGGGAGGGAGAAGAGGATGGGCTTGGCAGGAACCACTCAAATCATTTACACAACAAAAAATACTCTGCAGGAAAGATAAAAGTTTGTCTAAGGCTTTTTCTACAGAGTTCAAAGTAAAATAAAGAAAATTTCATTATACTTGACTATACTTGAAGTACAGTATACTATACTTCACTATACTTGAAGATGAAACTGTTAGTAATCTGCAGAATCCTATTTTATGGATGTATCTGACAAAAAAGGCTTATGTATGTTATTTCATGTTTACAACCTTCTGAGGAGTGGGTTTTTTCTACTAAATTGGTTAAATCGACACCTAGTTTACTTTGAAGGTAGCAGAGCTCCTAAATCGTAATTATCCCAAATCATTTGGGAACTCACACTTCCTTTCCCCTGAATTGTTAGGCTCCTCATGCATTCAGCAAACATTAGGTGCCAATTTACGCTAGACACTGATAATGATAGTATAGACCTTGCCCCAGAGAGCTCACAGTCTAGAGGAGAAGACAGACAAGAAAACCAATACTTATAATAAAATGTGATACATGCAGTAATCAAAGCATGAACAAGTTCCAGGAGTAGTACAGAGGAAGAAGTCATTCACTCGGCCTGGGGTGAGGTCAGGGGAGGATTTTCTGATATAAAGCCTCAACTGGGTTTGGAAGGCCAAGAGAAATTAACCAACTGGACAAAGAGGGAAACGGCATCTGAGCCAGAAGCAGCAGCAAGAGCAAAGGCAAGGGAGTGTGAAACCACATGATGCATTGAGAGAATTCCATGGAACCCAGTGCTGCTGGCACTGCCAGAACACGGTGTACAGAGAACAGAACAGAGAGCGAAGAGACAAGACAAGCAGGTGGGCGCGTGCCACCCAGATCCTTGTAGGCTCAGCTAAAGAGACAGTACGAAGTCAGTGAAGTGTCAGAAAAGCAATCTACAAAAGTTCCTCTGACTTGAAGGTGCGGGATAAATTAGGTGAAATTAGAAGCAGAGTGATTCTCTAGGAGGAGTCTGCAATAGTCCAGGTGAGAGCTGCTAAGGGCCTACATTAAGGCAGTGGCAGTGGTCATTAGTAGAAGAAGCCAGATCTGAGACATATTTAGGAAATAAAAACCAACAGGATGGAGCAACAGGCCATGGGGCTGGGGGAGAACGAATTCAGGATGACTCCTAGATTTCTTGCTTGTCCACTGGGGGGATGGTGCTACCATCAACTGAAATATGGGTTACAGAAGAAAGAGCAGGTTTGGGGAAAGGGGAGAAAGAAATAGAAAATGAATCGCATTTCAGACATGTGGAGTTTGAGGTACCTGTGGGACATCCAGGTGGAGATGTCCAGTAGGCAGGTGGAAATACGGGCCTGGAGCTCGGGGGAGAGGTCGGGGCTGGAGATATAGATTTGGGAGTCATCAGCATATAGGTGTTAGTTACAACCATCGGAGTAGATGAGAAAAAAGTGGCAGGCTTTTGGCTAAATCACCTGGGTAGGCTATTGCAACACTGGATTTACTTGGTAATAATTTCCAATTAACCTTGTGCTATTACAGATCTGGCATTAGGAAAGAAGACAGTTTATAGTTATTTTAAAATATAAAAGTTGGTTCCATATGAGTTTTGTTATAGAAATTCACCTAAGAACACGTGACATGAAAATCACCCAGGATCTTCAAAGTTCCAGCCTATTGTAAAACCTAGGTAATTCTTATTTTAAAACTCTCAAAGGAAAGAAAGTGGCAATGCAGGCGACCCAGTCTTACCTTCCTGAGCAGTTGGTACCATCCAAGTTGTGGTAGCTGTTGCTTTTTTAACATTTTCCATCTCGCTCTCATCTGTGATAACTTCCAGGGCTCCAAACTCGTTTACCCGAAACTAGCGAAAATATGGTAGAAAGAGGCAAAACTTACAAAGGTGCTCAGGACAGTAGTCATTTCAAGGTGGACACAGAGAGTCTTTAAGCAAATTAGTTATACTTTAAACGTTCATTTGAGCAACTGTATCTAGGTAAGCCCTCTACCAGCAGTAAGCCCTCTGCATTTTACAGATTTGGGGATTCGGGGAAGTAAAAACAGAACAAAGCAGCAAGGTACTTCTTTTTTTTTAAAAAATTTTTTTTTTAACATTTATTTATTTTTGAGACAGAGAGAGAGAGAGAGCATGAACAGGGGAGGGTCAGAGGAAGAGGGAGACACAGAATCTGAAACAGGCTCCAGGCTCTGAGCTGTCAGCACAGAGCCTGACGCGGGGCTCGAACCCACAGACCGCGAGATCATGACCTGAGCCGAAGTCAGACGCTTAACCGACTGAGCCACCCAGGCGCCCCAGCAAGGTACTTCTTAAGGTACCATACAACCAGCCCTGCACTGTGCTATAGAGATGCCAGCTCACTTAATGTGGCCTATCATTCTGAACACCAGTTGTTGCTAGGACTTTTGTTTCCTACTTCATATTACTACTTCCTTAGTAACCAAAATTACTAAAAGGAGAATTACTATCTTCCCAGGAATCAACTTATCTCACCCGAGCTCACCTAAGTCCAAGAGAAGGAAATCTCTATTCCGGAAATAATGACCTGCACGCCTATATTCTTATATTCCCGGAGGTAGGTGAGGAAGGCTGAAGTGTGAGCCATGTGACCCCCAACTCTCCACTTCTTTCTCTCACTGCTCTTTGGAATTCTCCACCCCATTCACCTCTAATCCTCCAAACAACTGGTAACGTCTACGAGATCTGAACAAATCTGCTAGCTACAGGTCAATTCTATCGCCAGAAAGTACAGGCATTTTGACTTCATGGACATTTTGACCCCAAATGTTGAAAATTTCCTCTCACCTCATGGCAAGCTGCAAACCTAGTATGTTTCTCTAACAGCCTGGCTGTACTGTGTGTGCATGTTGAAGGCTTACCCACTATCTATGTGCAGGGACCCCTCCATCCTCTTTGAAACAACTAGGTGTACTCTCCTATTGATGAAGTTCAAAGTTTTCCATATTCCTCTGTTTTCCCATAAAATAGAATGATATTAGGGATCCACTAATTTTGACAGTTGATGAAGAACTGGAAAGTTCACAATTCAAAAGGATTATACGACTTTTCGCTTACCGTTTTTAGAGCCTTCACAGAAATATGAGTATGCAAATATGTAGCAGTTAGGCTTAAGACCTTCCATTTTGCAATCTAAAACATCTATTTAGTCAACATGCCCACAGAATCATTCACTTAACCAAACTAGATTCAGAGTACAAGTCGGAAAAAGCTGAAACAAAAATTACTAATTATTCTTTCCATCAGATAAAAACAGCACCTTAAGTAACTGTATGCACACAGTGTACAATAATTAAAAGCTTTTTAGACTGAAGAAGTTGAAATAGTTGAGGAAAGTGAAAATGGTTTCTTCTATTACATATTTCAGATACAAGTTCCCAGGTAACATGTGTATACTATACTGAGTGTGTTCGCCTAAAAATGTCAGGCTAGGAAGTGGCAAAAAGTTAAGTGGGAGGAAAGGAGCTAAATATAACTTTACTTTTGGGGGGGGGAAATAAATTTTTAAATGATCCACTCTGAAAACAGAATATTTCAAAATAAAGCTGACAGTACCATCTACTGGGCAAGAACAGAAAAAACAAGCCATAATGATTACTAATTAATGATAGTAAAGAAGAACACAGAAAATCAATTCTGAATCAAAGTTTAAAAAGGCATTAGGCATCACCTTTATAATTCAGTCCAGGTAGGTAATTTTACTCTTATTAGATGCCAATATTAATTGATACTTATTTGAAAAATACAAAATGTGAAAAATAGCACCATTTTCATCACATGCAGAATCTCCTGTGGTGTAAGTTTCCAAATTACTGCTACACTGTAAGCCACCCTGCATTTCCAACAATGAGAAAGAGAACACCACCGAGTGGAATCTTTGAATAAAAATCCAGAGTTATGACACTTGGAAGCTTTAAGCTCAAATACTTTCAAAGTTAAAAGGTAATATCCCCACAATACAACAATTATTCCTAGTTGTCTTTTCCTTATAATGTTTATTGCCAGTAACTGACCTATAGCCAAAGTACAAATGAAAGATGTCATGACACTTAGGGACACAATTAACTCCTGTAAGTCAGGTATCTATAGTTGGACTTTAGGGGATTGAAGAATCCCATGAAATTCATACAGAATGATGTCATGGACACATACATATTTTTCTGGGAATAGGGTTCTTCAGTTTCATCACAGTCTCAAAGGCATCCTATAACCTTGAAAAAGTAAAGAACATTATTCTAACCAAGTTACTTTATCTCAAAAATTAACCCCAAAGTGTTTTCAAAGTATCCTGTCATATGCAAAAAAACCACAGGGATCAATTTTTTTTTTTTTTTCTGGCTTCTCAACTTGGATTTACTGTCTTTCACAATATTAGTACTGCTGAAAATGCTGGACAACATAGGTTGTTAGGTGCTGTTAACATTACTGGAGTTCCACAAATAGCATTCCAGAAAGACTGACACATTCCCTAACATTTTTCCCCCCAATAAAACACTCAGAAATGGGTAATGCTTTCATGAATGGTTTTGGAGCCATGGAAACTTGAAATAATCACTTTTATTTCTTTTTTCAAAGTTATGAGTTCTTTTAACCTAGACATCTAAAAAGCAGCATAAAAATCTATTGAGTGACTCCATTCCAAATCAAGAACATCAAAATTATAAACTCTACAAAAGAAATTTATTAAATAAGCACATCAAACACATCAGCTGACACCGTAATTTGTTCTACTAGTGGAAACATCTAAGTCAATCAGAAAACAATTATGCCTGAAAGATACAAGGGATTGCAAAGGTTTGTTTGGCCTGGCTTGAACTACCTTTAATTGATTCAATGCTCTTTATTTTTGCTTGTAGAGGCAAAGGATCCTTTGCTTTTTGCCTATCTTTAAGAACAGATCCTTAAAAGGCACTGCTGAGGTTAGTATTTTTGTTTTGTTTTATTACTTTCAATGTCAAAATATGAGTTCTATTTACCAATCTGTTTTAAGGGCAAAGATATTTGGTAACTAAAGTTTTCTGAACATTAATCACAACGAGCAAAACTGTGCACTATGAGCACAGTGTTTCTAGTTGGGTTTCTGCCCTGCTGCCGCAGGGTCTTGCTCTCAGTTAAGTGGCAACTATTCTTACTAGATAAGATGCTATCGCTCTCAGGAGTATATCTGCATTTTACTGAGGGATTCCAAATGGCTAAATCCTTATGACCCAGAGGAATAATCCTCTGTGGATAAGTTTCAGACATCATTACAAGTTCAGAGAGAGAGATTGCTTAGGGACAGGGAGCCCCAGCATGCACCTTCCCGCTACCGCTCATTGCCTGCCTGTTCTTATGGCTGGCCCTGAGATATTAGTCTACAAATACTAATTTGCCATGTTATAGAATAATTAGGCAACGGTGCAGTTTCCAAAGCTTGCTTAAACAAAAATGTCTTGTTAATGACTATAATATTTTCAAGGAGGCCCCTGGACACTTGCTGTTCTCCCCTAACACTATACTTTCTTATGCTAGTCCTTCTTTTAGATGCCCTTCTATTTCTTGCCTGCTGTCCCTGACCCACAAAATCTTCATATAGATGCCGACCTATTTTCGGGTACCTGAAGCTCATATGACAACTACTTCCCCGAAGCCTTCCTGATCCCTCCAGCTAAAATGATACCTCTTCTAAATCGCTATAACATTTTCTCTGTATCTCTTTTGATATGAAAACATTTTCTCTCTTTAGACTATAGTATACTAGTGGTAAGAGAATCGATTCCAGTATCAGAAAAGCCTGGCTTTAGACCTAGTTCTGCCAATTATCTTGACCTTGAGCAAATGATTTAACCATTCTGGGCCTCTGTTTTCCCATCTGTAAACTGACAACAACGATAGGAACTACCTCAAAAGGATTAAATGAAAGGATTAAATACAAGGATACAGATAAAGTGTTCATCAGAGAGTAAGCTTTCTATTCTTTCCCCTACTGCACCTGAATGGAAAAAGTTTTTGCACTCTGTTTTATATAAAGGCTGTTTAGCCTCCCTGAAAAGGGGCAAGGGAAACAGTATAAAGGAACGAAGGTTTGAAGCCTTCAACTAGACAGTTGGGCTGGAAAGGAAACAAGATGGCACTGAGGAGTGAAACGAGACACAGCCAGAGGGAAGTAGGGGCCAGACCACCAAAAACTTCTGGGGTAAACTTAAGGGGACTGACTTTGCCACGAAAGACAGGAAACTGCTAAAAGTTTTTAAGCAGAAGAGTGATATAATTTGGCCAGCAATCATGAGGCTTTTACAGAGAAACATACTTTCAAAATGGTAATAAACCGAAGCATATAAAAACCTGTTTACATGATAAGAAACTGACTTCTATGTAGTAGTTGATTGTACTGGCTGAACTAACCTGAGCTTCTTGTCCTAGGATAGCACCGTGTTTATTAGGAAATCTACATGCCTACACCCACTACAAAAAAGTAGCTTCAATAATGTAAAGTAGGGGGGCTCAGTCGGTTAAGCGGCCGACTTCGGCTCAGGTCATGATCTCGTGGTCCGTGAGTTTGAGCCCCGCGTCAGGCTCTGTGCTGACAGCTCAGAGCCTGGAGCCTGTTTCCAATTCTGTGTCTCCCTCTCTCTGACCCTCCCCCGTTCATGCTCTGTCTCTCTCTGTCTCAAAAATAAATAAACATTAAAAAAAATAATAATAAAAAAATAATGTAAAGTAGGCAAAGCATGATGTGAAAGAGCAAATTTCATGCTTTATTCAAAGTTCTTTTTAATATCTTAATTTTGTGAAAAATCAATTTCTCAATCAGATCTCTGAAGCAACTCAGATATTAATATTAGGAGCAAGTGATTCAGAAATCCTAAATTAACACAATCAACTGACTATCTGAATCTCTTCAGATAAAAATGGTTATGAAGTAGAAATTTTTTTTCATTTTTTTTTTAGAAGTGGGGTTTCATACTGTCTACAGTACATGAAGTGAACTGGATACATGGAAATTACCCACATAATTAGATGAGCCTAAAAGTCAAATAAAATAAACCAGATTGTAATACCCACTAAGTGGCTTAATTACCTGATTACCTTAATAAAAGTAATAGGCTAATTCCTAAGATCTATTGCTTAGAAAACCTTCAGGCAATTTAAATTTCTTAGGGATTGAAAGTTCAAAACCTAACTGAACAAAAATTATAAATTTCATCATCCACCTGACATCAAAAAAAAAAAAAGCAAGTGAGAAGAAGGGACAAAAATGTACAAGCAAAATATGAGAATAAAGCAATTTTAAAAAGGCAATTTACATAATATATCACAAAGCCAGAAAAAAATACAATTTGTTAAATGTTTTCCATATGTTATATTTTTCAATCCTTATAACCACCTTGTGACATAGATTCTATTTCCTCATTTTATACATAAAGATTCTGAAACTTAGAGAATTTAAATAACTTGACAAAGCTCATATAGCTACTATGAGGCTGACATTATGAGTGTCTGGAACGGTTTCTCTTTCTGAAAAATTTCAGCACTCAATTCCCATCATATCTAATCCAGATGAACATTTGGAGAATGTTAGAGCAGATAAAGTCCTTAGCATTCATTTAATTCCTTATTTTACCAAAGAGGAAACTGGCCTGAAGAGATTGACTGACTAGTTCAAGGACATACAGAACTAAAACTAAAAACCGTATCTCCTTTTCAGAATTCACTGAACCTCACTGCGATATTTTTGTTAAGCTTAACAGATAGATATGTTGGCACATTGCACTTAATTTAACCTAACCCAACTAAAATCTGGGTATTTTTCCAGTGACAGACTGTCCAAATCTCACCACTGAAGATGAACTAGGTTGGGCTTGGCTGAAATACTCGTCAAGTAGCCACTGGATTCCAGGAAGCCAATTATTAGGGGGCAGGAATTTCTATTCGAGATAGGCCAGAACATCAAGCACTAGAGGGAAAAGCCAATTGACAGCCAGTTAGAGTGATTAGAGGTTCAAAAACCTGAGTGACCAAGTACAAACAAAGTCTAAAAGGCCACAGACAGGTTCAAGGTCCCAGAGATAGGATTAGAGCAAAAGCAAATTAGAATTGAGAGGTGGGGTGGACTGGCTTCCTGGATGAGTGCTTGCGTAACTGTTTCATAGGGCAGCAGAGGTGGGCCTAGAGTGGGTTCGGGAAGCCTTGGGAAAAGGGGCAGGATAAGCACATAGTAAAGAGGCACACTGAAGCATCATTCTCTGAAGAGATTTCTCCTCTATATAAAAGCAGCCTGGTTTACAGGAAGGACCAGCTTTTGAACAAATGATTATATAAAAATTCATATTTATCGTATAAATAATTTAAGGGAGGAGAATAGTCCTGTCTATTCAATATTTTAATATTATCCAGTTTTCAAATGAGAAAACTAGGGCACAGGGAATGTGGTTATTCATTGAAAGTTCTCAAGTTCATTATTACAAAATATATGAAGCCAGGTCTTCTAAGCCTACCATTTCCATATTTATTGTCCGTCATGATAAAGTCAAACCAAGGGTGATCCCCTGGAAGCTATAATTCGACTTCTGCAAAATAAGCATATGCCAAAATATTCTCATCCACCACCCCAAGTGACAAAGACTTCGGCCAATTTGTCAACATTCCAAATTGTCTTGAAAATTTACTGTAGAGGGGCGCCTGGGTGGCGCAGTCGGTTAAGCGTCCGACTTCAGCCAGGTCACGATCTCGCGGTCCGTGAGTTCGAGCCCCGCGTCAGGCTCTGGGCTGATGGCTCGGAGCCTGGAGCCTGTTTCCGATTCTGTGTCTCCCTCTCTCTCTGCCCCTCCCCCGTTCATGCTCTGTCTCTCTCTGTCCCAAAAATAAATAAACATTGAAAAAAACATTAAAAAAAAAAAAAAAAAAAGAAAGAAAATTTACTGTAGAGGTCTAAGTATCATATAAGACCTAAAGCATTATGCTTAATGCTTTTAATTCTTATTTTACATATGTAGTCAAACTCCTTGTAACAAATAGCACACAGATGCACACACAGATAATTGTATTTAATAAAGACAGCTTACCTTTAAGTCACTTCCTGGTAGCGTGCCTACTCCATCTTTCCAGTCCATAACACTGAATACATCAAATTCTTGACCACTTGTGCTAGAGGCAGATTCAGTCATGATTTATTTTGGAACCTGGAAAGGGGAAAAAGGCAGATCATTAAATACTGTACGTACAGATCAGTTTTTATTTTAGTGGTCACTGCTTTGGTTTCCCTTAATTACATAAGTTTCTTGATCACAATATCCTATATCCATAGATCTAGAATTAAGTGCTTCGAAAATATCACTAACATTTTTTCTAGTACAATCCCTGGTAAATTTATGTATTTTTTAAAATATTTACTTTGAGAAAGACAGAGTGTGCATGCGCACATGAGCAGGGGAGGGGCAGAGACAAGGAGAGAGAGAATCTAAGCCGGCTCCGTGCTGTCACTGCACAGCCAGTCACGGGGATCAATCACGCCGATCGTGGGAACATGACCTGAGCCGAAATCAAGAGTCACTTAACTGAGCCACCCAAGCACCCCCTAATCCCTGGTAAATTAAAGAGGAAAGAATATACCTAAAATTTGTAAAGTGTCAATGTTTCTATTCTTAAAAAAGGAATTCACCGTTTCACAGCACATTCACTTAAAACAAAAAATCATGATATATATCAACAGAATTTCTTGCCCACTAAGTAGGGGGTTTTGTTGTTGTTGTTTGAAGATATTGATGACAGAGTGGGTATGGATAAAGGACAAGACATTAAATGTTAATAAGCAAAATGAAACCTTTTCGATGATAAAAAAGAACAAGAAAATTCCAGTCCATTAGGACTATCATCTATGCTAATTTGTCAGTTAAGTTTGTTGTATCAATTCAACAAATACATGGTGTGATTGACTCTCTCAGTGAATTGATTTTTTGAATTCAGTTGAGATATCCACCAATTTGAGGTTCTGGAAAATAGGAAAACAGTCTTAAAATATACAGCAAACACTAATAATAAGGCTATGTTAAGAAAACCAAGTCAACTAGCTAAACTGTGATAATCTGTTTAATTTTCATTTTTCTAAACTGCAAAACAGTTTTCCATAATCATATTGTTAGTAATTGTATTGAGACTGTTATTCTGAGACTGTTGTCTATGTGGTATGGGATAAAAGAAGTAATTATGTTGGTGTCATTGATAAGCAATGGAAGATGGATTAAAGTCCTAAATTTGATGCATTTTTAAACTTTTTTTTTTTTTTTTTTTTTTTAGGGGCACCTGGGTGGTTCAATTGGTTAAGCGTCTGACTTTGGCTCAGATCATGATCTCATGGTTTATGGGTTCGAGCCCTGCATCAGGCTCTGTGCCAACAGCTCAGAGCCTAGAGCCTGCTTTGGATTCTGTGTCTCCCTCTTTATGCCCCTCCCCCCCCTCACACTCTGTCTCTCTCAAAACTGAATAAACATTAAAAAAAATTTTTTTACAGATTTTTGCACGCAACTGGTGGAGGAACAGAGAGAGAGATGGAGACTGAGGCTCCGAAGCGGGCTCTGCGCTCTGAGCTGAGACCCAATGTGGAGCTCAGGCTCACAAACCATGAGATCATGACCTGAGCCAAAGTTGGACCCTTAACCAATTGAGCCACCCAGGTGTCCCTAAATTTTAATCTTTTAATGCATTTTAATCTTAAAAAAATTTGCATATTTTCTAGCCTTGCCCACTGACAGAATCTAGAAACAACCACCAATCAACAGTGATGAGCAGCCAAGTGCTCAGACTGTGGGCTCTAAATAGCACTTCTCTGAGGTCTTCCCAGAGAAGGGGCTGATTTCTGTTCAGTGGCAGGAAATGTGCAAGATGAGTCTGGAACTTCTTGTCAAAAAAAAAAAAAAAAAAAGCAAGGAAGCTATCAAAGACAACAGAGATCATATCAAAGGAACTTAGAAACCAATCTGAAGAGGCTCCTGCTGGCCAAAGAATAGTAGCTGCATGAATTGAAACACATCAAATAAGTTTAAATCTGCGAGTTCATACTGACATTGAAAACAAACAAACAAACAAACCAAGAACACCTACTGATCACCTTTTAAGACTACACAGCAAACCAACTCATTATCTGGAAAAAGAAACAAGGATTTATCCTGTCTATATTGCATGAGATCCATGCAAACTGTATTCCAGGGTAATGCAAATCAATGGCGAGAGGAAGTTTCAGTTTAGAAAGAATCCTGCTAATAAATAAAGAAGGAATGACAGAACTGAAACATTACCATTTTCAATCCTTGATACATTAATGGCTGCAGGCAATGGCTATCAATGACTACTAAGAATACAAACCCAACACCATCTAGGAAGTAGTCTTGCCATGAAAAAACAAAATCAAACCTAATCTGATCAAGTCCATTTGCAGGAAATACCTGAGACAAAGGAACACGTAAAAATCACACCATAAAAATATACAAAATGGGGCACCTGGGTGGTTCAGTCAGTAAAGCATCCGACTTTGGCTCAGGTCATGATCTCATGGTTCGTGGTTCCAGCCCCATGTCAGGCTCTGTGCGGACAGCTCAGAGCCTGGAGCCTGCTTCCAATTCTGTGTCTCCCTCTCTCTTTGCCCCTCCTCCCACTTGTACTCCCTCTCTCTCTCTCAAACATAAACAACATAAAAAAAAATTTTTTTTAATATAAGAAGTAAAATTCAGACTGTCAGAAACTCTTCAGCAACATTCCTCAAAGTGTGGTCCACAGACCCTGGAAAGACCTGAGACCTTTTCAGAAGGTCCAAGAAGTCAGAATCAATTTTCATAAAAATACTAACACATTATCTGCCTTCTGCGCCATGCTGACATCTGCGTGGATGGTACAAAAGCAACAGTGGGTGAAAGTGTCGGAGTAGCGGCTCCCAAGTAGGCAGCAGTCATTGCAGCCTTTACCGCCAGGTACTGATGGTAAACAAATGCTGGTTTCGCTAAACAGCATCCTTGATGAAGCAAAATAGTAACTTTCATTAAGTCTGGATATCTGAATACGTATCTTTTTAACATTCTGTGTGGTGAAATAGAAAGCACCCATAAAGCGCTCTGGTGCGTCAGAGTACCAAGGGAAAGCACCTGTGAACTGTCTGAGATGCAAGTTGAACAAGCGGCTTTTTTCATGGAGCGCATTTTTATTTAACAAACTACGTTTCTTCGGGTTTGGCTATGTGGCAAATATTTTGTCAAGAATAAATGAAGCGAGCCTGTTGACATCAAGGAAAACACTGACAGCATTTGTTGCTGAAGATCCATTTGAACATTCAAGGGATAATCATGATTCCAGAAAACGTGTATCCACCACCATGAGCCTGAGAGCTTCCCAGTAGCCACATATTTTCTAAGGAGATGGGTGGTGATATTGATGAGTGGGATTTTTTAAATATTTTATATTTGACCTATGTCAACATCTAGGAGATTTGCATAATTCAGTGATGCAGTATTTTCCAAATAACCAATGCTTGACGTCACAAAATTATGCATGAGTAAAGGATCCAATCAAAGTACGTGACAGACCGATGGATTGTAATATAACACAGTATGAAAAGTTCATTGTTAGGGTTTCAGACTGCCCACTGCAACTTACCTTTAAGAAACTACCACTTGTCAACTTTTGGTGTAGTATCATAGAAGAATGTCCACCATTAAATGAAAAAAAATACTCCTCCCCTTTTCCAAACTCACATCTGTGTGAAGCAGATTTTCTTTGCACACTTCAACCAAAACAACATACTGCAACAGACTGAATGCAGGAGCAGATATGAAAATCCAGCTCTCTTCTATTAAGCCAGGCATTAAAGAGATGTGCAAAAATGTAAAACACTGCCATTTCTCTCATTTTTTAATTTTGGAAACTATGATTACATTTCATTTAAATTGTGCAGACACATGTTAATATAATCAGTCTGCTACTGTTATTTTTAAAAGTAAATACATAGTTTAAATTATCTATTTTAATTTTGAATACAGTAGATATTAATAGGTATAACCCATACAAACAACAGCTCCTTGGGGTTTTCAATCATTCTTAAGAGTGTCAAGGAGACTTGAGACCAAAGAGTATGAGAGCCACTGCTGTGTAGGATAAAAACTGGCTTTGGCCACATGGACACATACATGCACACAAGGCACAGAGTAAAACAAACAAACAAAAAAATAGATGGAAGAGGAAATCTAAAATTTAGATTAAGAGATTTAAAAGACATTAATAAATCACAATATCATAATTTATAGATCTGTTTGGACCCTGATTTAAACTTTTTTTTTTTTAATTTTTAGGTTTTGAGAGAGAGAGAGAGAGAGAGAGAGAGCACCCATGTGCACGCAGGAGGGGGGCAGAGGGAGAGAGAGGGAGAAGCTGAAGTAGGCTCCATGCTCAGTGTGGAACCCAACCAATGCCACAACCCTGGGATCATGACCTGAGCTGAAATGAAGAGTCAGATGCTCAACCAACTAAGCCGCCCAGGCATCCCTAACCTATTTTTTAAAGAAGAAGATGATGGTTAGACAGGAAGGGAAGCCTAAATGCCAGTGGCTATTTGATGATATACAAAGATGCTGCTTTTTCTAGAGGGATGATCACGGCATGCACTTTTAAAAGGAGACTTCATGCTTGTCAACTGAAATTGACAGATGAAATGATTAAGTTAGGAATTTGCCATAAATCAGTCAAGAGCGTGAAGTGGTAAAATAAAGAGGCAACGTGCTGGTAATTCTCAAGAAGTGTGAGGGACCCAGTTTATTATACTACATCTTACTTCTGTGTGTGCTTGCAAAATTCCATAAAAGAAATACATTTTAAGGGCAGTCTCTTTAGATATAGAATATATTTATTTTTAAATGGTCAATAGAAAAAAAATAAACCTGTATTTCTCTGAATTATAGCTATCTTTTGTTGAAGTTTATTAGACATATTCTTTCTTCCTTATTCTTTCTTTCTTTGTCCTCTTTAAATGAGCCAGTGTCAAATGTTATATATTAAGTCTATTTCTGATCATTTCAAAATTTATACAGTCCGAATTTGAAGACGCACTAGATTTCACTACCATTAGGACTTAATCCTTAAAAGAGGAACTAAGATGTGAAGGCTTGAAGGAGATTAATTTAAGAAACAGTGAATTAGTAAG